CCCTCTGCACTCCCAAACCTTTTCTGATCCAATCTAACCAAGGATCCTCCTTTTGAACTGTTCAACCCATAAAGAACCTTCTCCAGCAGCTCTCAGGGGAGCTGGGAAATCCCAGCAACTCCAGTTCCTGAATCAGATGCACCATTCCTCATCTCTGGGYTGGATTCTAGGGATTCTCAAACAGGTGAGGTACCAAAAACCCAGAAAGGATCTTTTTTTCAAGCCAGATTAGGTAATGAAACCTCCATTGATGCCTCAGCTTTTGCATTAGTGACAATTCCAAGGGGTTTGTGTTTTAAAGGGATTCAGGATGCTGCAGAGATGTGCATTGCTATAGCTGTGCCCGTGACAGGATTTGAAATCCAAGCAGAAAAGACTCTTCTAAAATCAGGAAATTATTTGAAGAGAACACAGRACAGGAGTTTTAAGATGCTAAGCTCAAAACCAAACATTTTGCAAAGATTGGGTTCAGGTAATTTAAGTCCAACCAGGCTGGAAAAAGACAATTCAAAACACAAACTTCAGGATTTCCACCACCCAGAGCCACGTTTAATTCAATTCTACACTTGTGCAGTTGCAATAATCAGCTTTTCACCTGGAAATAAATGCTCAGCTGGATCTCTAAAAGTGTCTGCAGGCATTTAAAATGTCAGTGCTGAAATTCTGAAGGACAATTCCCACCCTTCCTTACACGTTGTATCCGTGTGTTTGAAATTGCCCCCACTTGGGATGAGAGAGATGGAATTGAGAGCAATTAAGAGAAATACAGATGGGTAATTAAAAATAAATCTTATTAGTACAGCAAGCAAATCAACTCTTATTACCAATTAGYTCTGCCATGACCTGAGTAGCACAGATATGCAAATAGTGAATTTAAATATGCAAACGAGCAGCCACTTACCTTGTTTTCCCCACTGCAGCCACTGTTGTCATCGTTATCGACATCATCGTCATCYTCTCCYTCYTCCTCTTCCTCCTCCTCCTCTTCCTCCTCCTCCTCCTCCTGCAGTGGCACAGTGCCATCGTAGCCATAACGGCTCAGCAGCTCCTGGATGGGCATGTCACTCTCCTGATCAAAATCCAAACAAAAACTGGGAATTAACCGGGATAATTCCACAGGAATTGCTCTGCCAGGTGAGCGCTTCACCACCAAACCAACACCAAGAACAGTCATTCCTAAAGGAATGAGRTGTCAAAATTGGAAGTTCAGGTTCTTAAGAATATTTTTGTGCAGGATCATTTATTTCCCAATCTTTTTTTTATTTATAATCTCACATCCCAACAGGATCTCCTCATTAAAAGGGCCTGGTTTAATAAAACATCTTCAGTACCCACAGCAAACACATTCCTTATTGAAATATTTACTGGGATTCCCTCCACTGCCCAAAAGCAACCTGGAAAATGGTGCTATTTAGGACAAATTTGGGAAAAAAATGGATAAAATTTGTGTCAGCAACGGCTTCACACAGAGAGCTGAGATCCTGGGAGGAAAGAACCTGCCCAGGGCAGGGCAGGAATTCCTGCAGTGACTCCAAGAATTCAGCACAATCCCAACTTGCAATACCTGGCTGGAACATGGGATCAGATCTTTTGAGGGGAAGTTGTGCTCCAGAGACAATTCCACTGAGTTCCACAAGTTCTGAATATAAAATCCCACCCAAAATGTGCCCTTCAGTGCCCCTGTACCTCTCCTCTTTGTGGCAATGAGGGTTTGGACGGGGTGAGGGATCACCTGAAATCCAGGGAAGGACAGCAGCAATGTTTATTGCACATTTATTTTTATTACATTTTCTTTATTTTTATTACATTTTCTTTATTTTTATTACATTCTATTTCATTCGTAGCTTGGCTAGAAACCCATCCCCAGCTGGAAGCAAATCTACTAAAATCTTTAAAATTTAATTAAAAAAAA